CAATCCATGACCCCGATTGGATCTTCCTTTCCCGTGAAAGTCGATGGCTTGCAAGTCAGAAAATCCTTTTACTTGCATCCATTCCTCTCGACTTCGTCACCCTGGTTGTTTTGTTGAACTATTGGTGGGTTGGCTTGACCAACATTCCCACTGTAGCTTCCCTCCTCAATCTGCCCTTCGTTCCACTCGGGCTGTTCGATCTGAATAGTTGCTTCCTCTCGATTTTGTTGGAGCAAGAGTCTGGTTTCCTCCATTTGACGATCCAACATCGCCTGGATCATCGCTTGCACTCCGGCCATTGTTATTGGCTCAGCAGTGGCTACCACAACTGGTATTTGTTCGATTACTGGGGGTTGGTTTCTGTTCCCATTTGCATTCACGTTTCCGCTACGGGTCCTTGCCATCTTGATCTATACACCGAATAAGGTGAATTTAGATCTTTATTTAGGACTGATGTTCAAATCATCCTTATCTCTCCGAAACGTTTACATGCTAGTTCTAATATCATACTCGTACATTTAGAATCCTAAACACATAAGGTTTCCAGATCCGGTCGGCAACAGACCATAGATCCGAACAATTAACAGCATATCAGGCACAAAGCATTTAGCACATAAAAGCTTTTTAGGCATAACTCCTAAAATAAGCTAGTGCTCACACCTCACAATCATCGCTTAGCATTCTAAGTTTAAGTCTAGAAATCCTACCAATTCCTAGTTTGCTTAAACTAATGCTCTGATACCAACTATGACATCCCCAAAATCACGGCCATAAAAGACGGGTTTGTTTATGCTTTGTTTAAAAATCAGAGTAACATTTTAAATAAAAGAGTTGCGGAATTTGTCCCAAAACAATAATATGATAAAGATTTATCAAAAGCATTTCCATAGAAATGTATTTCATTAAAAGACTCGGGATGTCATGTTCGTACAGATCAAAAGCATAAACAGTACAATACAAGCCTTACTACATTATTTCATATCTACAGGCCTATATCAGTAATCCCTCGTCCAAACATCATATATATGCTCAAGCGCCACTACCTGTAATACATAAAACTGAGTGGGTCAGGCTTGGGAGCCTGGTGAGCACATAGGGTTTTCAACCCACAATAAATCAGTTTATTAACTTCATTAAATTAAACAAACCCGATTACCTGTTCCCATTATCCTCACATTACATCCCTAAGCATCTATCATAAGGGACCTATCCTAATGATTATCATCGGGATGGACATTACTGCTAAGGGGATTCCTTAGCAACAAATGTCCTTAAGGCAACCATGTAGGGGATGGAGTACATCTGGTGAGCACACAGTTCAAATAAACACATAGTTCGAATAAACACCTACAGGTTGCGAGCCTGTTAGTGTTCCACTGGACTGTCTAGAATAGTCTATGGTCATCATCTATACTCCGCTAGATGACTGGTTCATCAATAACACCTATAACGAGGCCTCTCATTATTTTATTTTGTCACACAACAACTATTACATCTACCCATGTTTTACCCAACACATTTTGTAGATATAAAATACATATACAGTTTAAATCTTTGAAAACATGTATAAAAAGTTCATCCAGCACAGATAGCAAGTATTCAGATAATATGCACACATAGCACGTAATTTATATTAAATAATTCATATCTATGTGTAAGCTGAAAGTAACTATGCACTCACCTGAAAAGGTGGTGATTCCGACCTCAGACAGCGCTTCGCTTCTTAAAATGAATTTTCTTCGACGAAACCTAGTATTATTACCACTAGAGTTTAGTTTATTATTCGTCGAGACTAATTAATAGTCTAGCTATTATTATTATTATATAAGCATCAAAAAATACTTATATAACCCATAATAATAGCCCAAGTATTTATTATAAGTTCATAATAACGTTACTATAATTAAATAAAAGCTATATTAAAAACAGCGTAGGCGTAGCTCACTTACAACGGGTTTTATAGAAAACCAGGATTTGCTTGGAGCAGCGTTTCCGAGTCGAAAAACTCTTCTTCTCGGAGCCGTCGAGCACTCCGGGGCTTCCGCCTCGTGCTAGGGAGGTTCCCTAGGCTTTTCGGGGGATTTTGGGGTTAGAGAGAGGTTCTAGAGAGAGAGAGAGAGAGAGAGAGAGAGAGAGTAAAGAGAAGAAAGAATGGGAAAGGTGTGATGAAAATGAGGGTGGGAGAGGTGGTATTTATAGGGTGAAATGTGGATGAACTTGGTGCCACATGTCACCAAATGGTGGCAAGCCTTGGGGAGAAAGCAATGGCCAAGATTGTGCCACATCACACATTTTCGCACAACACACTTCTGACTTCTAAAATCCATAACTTTCACACACGACCTCCGTTTTTGACGTTCTTTATATCCACGCGTAGGTAATAATAAGATCTACAACTTTCATTTTGACTCCGTCGCCTAATTCTCGACCGATCTTAAATTTAACAGTACAAGGAGATTATGCTGTTAAACGTGTGCGTAAAATTCATAACTTCTACATACGGACTCTGTTTTTGTCTATCTTTTTACCGTTGAATTCCTATTAATGAGATCTTCAACTCTCATTTACGTTGCGTAAGCCAAAAACCGCTCGAACTAAAATTCGAGTTTCAGGTCGTGCACTGCTAAGCCGAATCTTAGAAAAATCATAATTTCCTCATACGAAGTCAGATTTTGGCGTTCTTTTTATGGATGTTCTCGGTTTAACATATACTACAACTTTGGTTTAGATCACTAAGGCTAAAAATCCCTTCATCGTAAATTCACTATTTACGTCTTCCGGTGTCGTGTCAGTTTTGCCGTAAAACTTCGACGAGCTATAACTTCTTCGTTATAACTCGGATTTTGGCGTTCTTTATATCCTCAGAATCCTTGTTTCGACCACTACAACTTTATGTAGAGATATCGGGTTTATCTCACACTTTAATTTTGACGCTTATTTTTATTCTTTATATTTAATATATTTATAATAAAGTAATAAGCACACAAATACACATAATTCACATAGAATTAGAATATTTCATCTTTATTACATCAAAAAGAGTTACAATAGTTGACCTAGACTATTACATCATCTAAAAATGCTTAGCCCCGAAACCCAGGCGTTACAGAATATAACTCCAAGTCCATGGTTGTTCGTCATTTAGGATTTTTGAATGCTTGATTATGACTGGTTGGTTCAATGGATGGAGTGATTGGGTGAAGAGTAGTAGCATTTATGAAATTAGGATTCTAATATCTTCTGTTAGGCTTATGAGTTCTTGGTGGTGTAGGCAACGAAGTTTGAGTTAGAGGTGTCAAGGGAAGGAGAGGGTGTATTAGCAAATATAGTAGGTGTACGTAAGGAGATAGGGGATAGTTAGGGTGTGAAGTAAATATATGACATGAAGGGGTAGTATGAAGAGTAGGTAAATAGGTAGTAGGAGAGTTAAGTTGTGAAGTAGATATAGGTGAGGAAGGTGTGATCGGAGTGGTTGTTGAGTGGGCAGGGGAATTAATAGCTTTAGGTGTCATGGAATTTGGTTGGTGAGAATCCAATGGCGGTTCGGTTTAACGCTTCGTAGTGAAAGGGGTGGAGTGGAGTAATGACGATATAGGTGGGTTAGGAAGTTGTTGGAACTGGTTAGGAGTGGGAAGTGTGGTCGATGGAGATGTTTTAAACGGGAAGGTGTGTTCCACAAATTTGACTTGTCTTGAGTGGAAAAGACGGTGAGAGATAGGATCAAAACATTTTTATGAGGACTTAGAGAAGGAATAGCCCAAAAAGGTGCATGGTTTGACCGTGGTTGTAGCTTTGAAATGTTATATGGGCGCAACCATGGGTAGCATAGATAACCAAACAACTTGAGTTTAGAGTATGTCAGGAAACGACCATAGGTAATACTCTTTTTGGTCTACTACAATTATGTCGGTATAGAGTATTAGCGACGGATTACCAATGATTTTGGCTATCGGTAATGGTGTTTTTTGTAGTAGTGAATGAGTAAAGATTTATAAGCACATTTTTATTATGTATAAAGAAAATGCAAGTATGTTGCTATTATAAGTTACATATTACTATACAGAGTAAAAGAACGTAAGTACATGGTTATTATAGGTAAAAAAATGTAAGTATATTGTTGTTATGAGTAAAAATAAGGTATATTGTCTATTTGACAAACTATAACTGGTTAGATTTGTCCATTTTAATCCTCTTTGTGCGACAGGCATAATAGTAGCTTGTCATCTCATGAGGACTACCAATAACAGCATCATATGTTCTTGTTTATTAAATGCTTTGTTTACATAAAAAAGAAATTATTGTGTTATGTTGGATAAAAATGTAAATACATTGCATATTTGACACTTGTCAGTTATATGTAATATGGGATCACACAAAGAGCATTAAAAAGATATGAAAGAAAACAAAAAATTCATCTCCTATAAATATATTATATATTTCATATCTTTTTAATGACCCATATTACATATAACTAATAATATTGTGAATATCTTCTTTTGTACACACGATTACAATTGATAAGCATCACATTAACCTGATAAGCTAAATATATTTGTAAAAATTAGTAATGTATTATTACTTTAATACGAGATGCATTAATTATATATATATTTTTTGAAGAAGATGGGGTGTGAGCCTAAATGGGGAAAACTTTATAAGGAAACGCACATCATATCGTTCAAAGGTGGCATTGGAATCTAATGAGATGGATGGGACCAAGTATGTTGAGTGGATTGCAAATATGTAACTTTAACCTTTTTAGATATTTTGTGTGATGCATTGTTTATTTTTTCAAATTTGTATATAATAACAATCTTTTTTTGGTAAAATGTAGGCGTTGTATGAGCATGTGATGAATGAAAAGCATAGCTATGGCGCCACTCAACATCCAAGGGGTGATGGTTTGTGGGAGTAGTGTTAAGGTGAGAGAAAGAAGGGACAACTTTTTTGGATAGGATCCTCATATCTCCACTTGAAGTGACGGGGACAACACCTTATTAAATGCATTTTTTATTTACATAAAAAAGAAATTATGGTGTTGTTTAGGATAAAAATTAATGTAAATACGTTGCGTATTTGACACTTGTACACGATATCCTTGTCTCTTAGTTTTACATACATGCAATGAATATGCTATACCTCGAGAAAAAGTAAAAATTTCTGATCTTCAGTTGTACAAAAATTCAAAGCCTGGATACTTGGCAAGCCCTATAGCAGGATTAACATTTGCAAAATCTTCTACTTGCAAGGAATCAACGAGGTCATCAACAGAGAAATGTATCCTGCATTTTAAAAGAAAAACGATAATTTGTTATGCATTGCATTCACCATGGATACGAAGGATAATGCCAATGAAGGAAGTAATGGTTATTAACAATAGCATTGAAGCCAACTCCATTCAACTAATTAAATTTCATGATACAGATTTCAGATGGGGTAGTATTTTATTATTTAAAGATAACTCACATTCTGAAAAGGAGAATTTATCAAGTTAACTAACCACTCTACTCCCCATCTTCCAATAGCATTTATTTTGTTACAGAAATATATATTTTTCTGTTATTCACATTTTCTATACAAATCCGGTTTTTAGAGTTTCTATCGCAAAGAAAGAGATTCATTACAAAATTAACGGACGTTTCTAAAATATTATTCATTCTCGTATAAGTGAAGGTAATATAATTACGAACAAATTTATCTTTAATGTGTTCTCTTGTACAAGGAATTCAAAGAAGATTAATGTGATCATGAGTGACTCCTATTTAAAATCTGAATTTTGGTCGCATATAACATAACAGTCGTCAAAAAGAGCACAAAGCTTTATACCTGGAAGTGTCTTTCAATAAAAGGGAATCACTTGAAGCATTATTACGATCTTCAGATTTTATGGCGAGGCTTGCAATAACCTGCAGGTTAAAGATAATACAATGAACAGTGTAACTTATGGACCATATAAAAAAAATAAAAAAAAAGTTTTAGTTCCATAAATTAATATGAAATTTCATATATTGCACTTACTTCATCAAATCCACCACCTAAGTAATTCTTGTCTTGGAAACACGCAGTTGTACATATTTTATGCAACTGCGAGACACTTAGAATCTGGAATTAATAGAGAATCAGAGTGTGAGTTATAAACCACATATACGTGCACCTCATCATATGTTTCATTTCTGTAAAATGACATGAATGGGTCCCACAAGTCTACTAATTCCTAAACAACACTTGATCCCTTCGTGAATTGTTTTAATCAGAAGTCCAAAGTGGGTTGTTGATTTTAAGATCGATATTAGACGTATTATCCATCGTGATACCATCTTTTTGTTTCGTGTAAGAATAAGCATTTAGGTTCACAAGATTTTGATACGGGATGTTTTGCTTTTGATTATCTTCACCGTGTTAGTCCTCAAAGCTCATTCATTGATAACAGATAACCTTCAACAATATCATGTGTATGTTTTGTAATATTGCCTTGCATTAAAAATTAGGATTCATACATGCATGCATTCTCCTGATAAAACAGTAGTCTACTCCTCAAAAATCAATTGCACTTGTGGAGGTGGTAGTTGAATGAATCCACAGATGTCGATTGCCAAGTGAGTTTTTTATAGCTTGTTTTTTTGCTGAATTTTGTAATCGGGATTGATTTCTGTTTGCATGTGATGCTGATTTTTATAATTGAAGTTGATTATTGAAATTGTTGTTGATTTTTGCTAAACTATAACACTATTTTGTTTCTGATATTCGTTATTCTTGTTTTAGATTCTTGTAATTGACTAATTGTTGCTGGCTTTTACATTGTTTCCGATTTTTTTACACAGTAACACATTACCCTATGTACTGTACTGTTTCTGAATTTTGTTAATTGCTATACAATATAGACTTTTAAGATTTTTTTATTTGTTGACTTGATTTCTTTCTGACTTTTGCTAATTGCTAATTACCATAACACTATATACACTATTTTTGATTTTTCCGTCACTTTTGGAACAACGTATTGGTTTTGATATTCAAGATTCACCGGACTTGTTATGGTTTTAATGTTTGTTTTGGAACTACTTCTGGTTAAAAATAAATGTTTTTATTATTATTAAGTACTTAGAAGGTAAAATATGTTATGTGGAATTAAATTGCAAATATTTTGACAATAATCGATGCCTCGAGTGTGTGATGCAAGCACAACATGCATCACACATCTTGCCTTGACTTTTGGTCTCTTAATGCGTGATTGAAGATTCCCTATGACTCTTCTCGCTGCCAAAGCATCTCAACCTCTGTGTCACGCCTCGAACGCCTCTCCTAAGTTCTTCTCCTAATTTGGCTTCTCAAATCGCAACTCTAACTGTGGTCTTGGAGACCACCAACAGCAAGGTTGTCGTGGTGGGCGGGGTGGACATTCCAACAGAAGAAACGACAATTCTCAATGCTTGTGACAACATCCCCAATGACACTCGCATTAGTGGTCGCCGTCCCCCTATATGACTAGACATCATGTTGCTTGGCTCCCCGTCGACCCAACTAAGTGACATCTTAGACCCAAAATTGATGTTGCATTCAAACCAATATCCTTAAACAATCCTTATGATGAGTATTATATGGACTCGGGCACAAGTTTACATATACCATCTAACCAAGGTACGCTCTAAATCTTTTTAACTTATGCAATACTCATCATAAATAGTTGGATTGTCCATTCCTAGTATCGCTTTTGGTGAAACTTGACTTTTCAGTCCTTATCCTCCTTTTTCTTTTAACGATGTTTTTCTTGTTCGAAACATAGTCAGAAATCCTCTTTAGTATATGGTGTTTATTTATAGATACTTTTCTCAAACTAACATGATGTTGTTAGGGAAACAGACGATACTTGTCAAGACTGAGAACAAATATGATGTCACTTGCCAAGTTATGATAACTCTTGTTAGGAAGTAATGCAGATAACAAGAAAAACCAAAAGTACACAAAGACATAGTATTTACGTGATCCGGTCGAGGTGACCTACATCTACGGGTAGGAGGCCTAGTTCCTACGTTTTAGAAAAGAAAATAAAATAAGGAGAAGGAAATTAAGAATGGAAAAAGAAGGAAATGAAAATCAAATTGTATTTTGTGTTCTCAAGTTGGAGATAAATGAAAGAAAAAATTAAACTTTTTGTTAATTTTTCTCCAAAGCATTCCAAATTGGAAGGAAAGTTAGGAGAATTTTTTTTTTTCTTCCATTCCCTCTAACTTTCTTTTCACTTCCTTTCTTTAATGAAACTCATGAACACTAATTTCTTCATTTCTTTAATGAAACTCGGGAATACCAATTTTTTCATTTCTTTAATGAAACTCGAGAGCACCAATTTCTTTTAGTTTCTTCTCATTTCCATCAATTTCGGAAACACGGTGGAAATTGGAAAAGCAAACGTACATTTAGTACCTTCATCCAATATGTCTCACACCCTTCCTTTTTACACTCACCTTTATCATTATTTTTTCCATATTCAATCCATATGGCTACTTATTTAGACAATACTATTCTTTCTAAAATCATTAAACTTTCATCTCCTACATCACATATCTATCTAAAAATACCATCATGTACTAATCTTAGAGTCTTTGGTTGCCTTTGTTTTCTTCATAATTCCTTTCCCCAACACAAATTGTTTCTTATGTCTTACACGCTGTGTCTTTTTTGGTTACTCTAGCCTTCTCATAATCGGGGTTATTGATGCTATACCATGGTCGTAAGCATTTCCTTATCTCCATCCATTTCATATAAGAAAAAACATTCTTCTTTTTTGCCATCCAAAACTTGACACACCTCAAACAAGGAGGATACTCCGGTCACCATTACCTCAGCCTTCAAATCATTTCTCTGACCTTCCTCCTCTATCACATGATGCTTCCGATGAATACTATTAGATGGCCCCTTCTTTGGTCTACAAAATGCCACCTCATACTAATGTAAAATAAGTGTCTTGCTAGAAATAAAGTCCCATGTCTCCTAAAATCCAACAATGACACAACTTGTCGCTTCACCTTAAGATGTCAACTGTACTCCCTATATATGGAATTATACACACAAATTTTAAACTAGCAAGTCTTTTCAGAGATACAAAGCACGAGTGGTTTCTAATGGCATCACTAACATGCATGTTGGCCTCGATTTCATGGAGAGTTTTATTGTAATCGTTAAGAATTGTTCTTAGAATAGGTCTCCTTAGAGTTTAGGATCTAAATTAACCATATATGTTAAAAATGCCTTCTTGAATGGGTATTTTTGTGAAACAGTTTATATCCATCAACAAAGGTTTAATGATGATTAGCTCTTAAGCCATGTATGCTGACCGAAGCATTCTCTCTATGGATTGAAGCAAGCTCCATGAGCTTGGTAACAACATTCTACGATATTTATTGCATATATTGGTTTCACTCAAAGAAAATAGAGCAATAATTTGTTTATTTTTTAATACGAACTGAGCATTGCATATTAAAATTATATGTCTGACTTTATACTTCCCATCTCTTTATCCACTCAAATTACAAACTACTATCACCATAGAAGTTGGGATGTATGCAATGATAGTTTAGGCCTTCGTTATTTTCGGAAAATTCGGTTTCACAAAAACCTTACAGTTTATTTCCCTTACAAGAAAAATATGATTAGAAAATTTTATCACATTTCACCATGCCATAATGTAACGCCATCCGTACTCCGGTTGATGTCTATTGGAAACTAGAAACTGAGTGCCGCTTTCAAATCTCCTGATCCTATGGTACATAGAAGGCTTGTTGGAGTTCTTCAAGAATTTACTTCTATGAGACCAAAAATCAAATATATGGCTCAAGAAATTAGTTAATTTAAGCATGATGACTAAGAAGAACATATGCAACCCCTTATTGAGTACCAATATGTCAAATGTACTTTTTATTTTCAATAACAACTATGTACAAGAATTTCCCACTCATTATGTAAACTGGGACACCAATTTGGGCGATCTTCGGTTACTTGGTGATCGAATTCTGAGTATTGTATCTTTTTTGGAGATAGCCTCACCTCGAGGTATTCCAAATGAAAAGCAATTTTTTCCTAGTCTAGTTCCTATGACGAATATCAAGGAATAGCAAATGTCGTGTCTGAAACATTCTTGCTATGTAATTTTTTGTTTGAACTTTCATACCCTCTTGTTAAAGAAATGTTGTGTATTGTAACAATGTGAGTGCTATTTATATGCCCAATAATTTGATCCAACACCATAGTCCTAAACGTGAGTTGGATACTTCTTTTGATCGTGATAAGGTTAAATGTCGTCAATGTTGAGTTTTACATCTTGCTTTAGAGAATGAGGCATGGGAGATTACCCACACAACCAAACTAGTGGAACATTGCATGGTGTCAACATTAATTCAATACTCTTTCCTTTTTGCCATACCATCCCCGAAACAAGAGAACATCTTTTTATTTGTTGCTCCACGATTAAGAAACTTAGGTCATTGCTCAGATAGTGGTGATATGACTTTTCTATTATTGTTGATTATTTTTAACATGGTGATATTGGTGATGTTACGAGCATGCCTAACCAAGAAAATTTTGTGCTTAGGTGGTCAATTTTGGCTCTTTGTATGGACAAAGAAATGAAGGTTTGTTCAACAACAAAACCCGAAGTAGCAAGGACCTTGGCGAGTGATATTAAGATTTTGGTATTTAACGGGATTAAATTAAAACTAGGAGAGTTTTGTTTTAGACTTATAAATTTAAATGTTGCAACCTTGTATATTTTGTTGAAATGTAATCTAGACTAGTTGAAGGCTAGTTTGATAATTATCAATAATTAGTTATAGATGGTAATTAATTATTTGATAGTTATAGTTAGTTATTAAGGAAGTTAGTTCTAGACGGAGATAGTTATTTCAACAGCCATAAGTTGAAGGGGGTGCAATTTTGTATATAGATGTGTCTATATGTGCCTTTGTAATGTTGTTGATATTGTGTTTAATAAAAAATTTGTTTTGATTGCACTCTCTTTCTTTCTTCATGTTTCAATGCCTTTCTCCATCATATTTCACTAGCTCATCACTAGCTTATTTCCATGTTGAAAATGTTTGAGTTTTACGTGTTCCATTAAGGTACCAATGTCCATATATTTTCGACAAATAGATTTCAGTGTAAGATTGAGGAACTTACAAAGCATGTTATTATGTATGTGTGTGTGAGTGAGAAACTTACAGAACATAGATTGTTGATCCTTTTGTATGATATCTCCCATTTGCTACGTATAATCTGAGAATCATAAAAAAAATTAGTACATTTGTTACATAGAACAATGAACCGTTTGAAATAATTCATTTTGGAGAAAAGCAAACAATACTAGAACCTCTAATATTCAACTTAGAAAAAAATATACCAAGAATTGAGTAGCCTGTCTAACATGATTAAGTTCATCGAACAATGAGCCTGCATACTGTAATACAAAAAAAGAAAAAAAAAATTCAGATCCTACAATAACCAAACACTGCTGTAAGTGTTAAAAGTTAAGCTAGAACTCATGTGTAGCATATAACATATAGTAAGTACCTGTTTAAAGCATTATATTTTGAACCATTGTATTATTAACAAATACAATGTTATTATTGTCATAAATTTAGGCACACAATGAAATTTTGCCAGAAAAGGCAAGAAGATGAAAGTAACGATGAAAAGTTTATGAATCATGAGAATGGGTCCAAGGAGGTTGAAACAATATTTGGTCATTTTTTAGAGTGATACACTTGTGATGGATGACGTGCACGCGGAACAATTTGATAGAAAATAAGGATATGATTGTTGCTATGGACGATGCTTTCTATAACGATTTTGGAATTGTATGATGAAATAATGCATCAAAGAAAGGAAATTTCAAGAACTTGAAGTCTAAACCCTTACAAGTTGGTGTCGGTTAAAAGAAAAGGTTGGAATGGATTGAGTTTAGCTTAAGTGAAATAGCTAAAGTTAAGCTAAACCTACTATGTAGAATATTGTAAGTACTAGTATGACATTATATTTTGAACCATTGTACTGAGATCTAGAGCATCCATAATATATTGAACTCCATAGAGTTTAACAGATTGCCACATCATTTTTTTTAGATTCCATACAATGCTATCATTTTTTTACAATGCATTGAACTACAAAGTTCAATAGAAAATTACAAAAGCTAATTTATAGTATATATATTTAAGAATTAAAAACTTTCATTTATTTGCATTGAAGAATTTAATGGTCATTGAACTCCAAATCCTTTGAATGCTAAGTTGGCATCTCACTATGATACTATTTAATCTATTAAATGATAAATAGACTTGCTATCTCATTCATCTCTCCAATTGAACTCATTATTATGGATGCTTTTAGTAACTATCAAATTCATGATTGTCAATGAAAGTTATATATATATATATATATATATATATATATATATATATATATATATATATATATATATATATATAGAGGATAGGTGTAGAATTATGAATAATAAAGTTTGTAATTACTGCATAAGAATGTAGGAGATGAAGCTTTTTCCTTTGAATAAAAAAAAACTCTTCAAATTAGGAAAAAAAGTGAAGTGTGATTTTCAGAGAAAGAAAGAAAAAGAAAAAAAAATATATGGAAAGACTGAAGGTTGCTTTATTAATTCATCGTCCAAAAGTGCCTTAAATAGGCTAACATCCAACCAATCGTTCATAAAAATAAGTCACCCAACACTCTATATATTTCCAAAGACTGGCAAAAGGAAAAATAAACAATTGACCACAACTTTAAATCTAATTAATATGCTGATAATAAATAAACCCATGATCCGTTTACACATGTCAAGATTACCCAACAAAAACATCATTCTTTGTTTTTCAATTGTTCATCTATTCTTTGTTTGATCCAATGATAAGTTGCTTTCATAAAAGACAAGACACGTGAGCAGCGTTGCAAGGAACTTGATACACATTTATGTTTACTGTCACATTTTCCGTAGTTTGTTATAAAAAATGCAGTTGATAATGCTTGATAACATTTAACAATTTATTATGTTCCATAGTTTTTCGGATACGGAAGAAAATACCTCAGTTTCCATGAAATATGATGTTGCACGATGCATAAATATACTAAACATGAGGAATGTCAAAAAAAATATATAGAATTACCTTTTCTGTTGCCTCACGACACCACAGCTTTAACTCTGCTAAACCTTCATTCACATAGCGCCCATTGGCAATGGAACAACACTCTGGGTATAGAAGAAAACTGGAAAATGAAGATAAAAAAAATATATTTATAACAGGAAACCAAGAAAACGACTGGAGAAATAAGCAAAAGTTGAGTAAGCAAACACCTATTAAAGAGTTGCACGTTGATATATGAGAAAATTTTAGTGAGTATCTTCTTAACAATTGTGGTAGGCACCTGAAAGGAAACTATATGAGAAAGTTTGGCAAAATAATATCTTTTGAACAATTGCAACCCAATAAAATATTAAAAATTTAAGCCGATGTTTTTATTCCAGTGAGGATTTGAAATGGAACTTCAACTTTTGTAAGTATCCTAACATTTATCTAATGAACATGAGGCCATGGAAAATGCACATACAAAATTTTCTTCGAATGTTTTTTGAAGAGTGTTGAGATAGTCAACAATGCCATGCCAGTGATTTTTAGAACTATGATGTCCTTGTATTCCCGATTTTGAAGCCTAAAATTTCACAATTATAATACAGATAAGGTCATCATAGGTACTTTGGGAAGTGAATGAAAGGTAGAAAGGTATATATTAAATTGTTAATACAACAAGATTATTGTTGTTGCTGAATCAAACCATAAGTTAATCTACCTGAATACTTGACGAAAGGAATGATCCCACCTCCTTCTTCGAGTTAGCAATAATAATGCCACACATTTTCTCTACGTATGTTGTTAGTTGGAGCTCGAAAAGCAAAGCTGGGTATTTGGCCACAACATGTTGTACTTCTATAGGTGTAGCCTCAGTTTCAGCCTTAGGGGATGTGGATGAATGAAACTGATAAATATAAGTTGAAAAAAAAAAACGTTATTTATTGAAAAGATTAAATAACGGATGACAAGAGTAAAAATCAATCCCATTATCATACACTTACCAAAGTTGGTGACATTGGTTTCTGAATTGAAGGTGCACTATCAAGTTTTAGACTTTTTCGGATTAAAAATACCAAAGTAGATGCACATGATAACCAGCATGTCATCTGATTATCAATTTGATCCTGCAATAAGGTTAACTGTCATCACGATTGAAATAACATGATGAACTTCATTTTTAAATTATGTTAAGAAGATATAAATTAAGGTTTAAATCAATTGAAGAAATATCAATTTAGTGATCATTATGCTCCTTTATCATGGAGAAAAAATTCACTAAATCACCCAGAAACACAAGCACAACAAGATGGCATACTGAAAATATGTTTCAGATATGCTATCACGTCCTTCATTTTTTTAGTGTGATAACGATTCCCCCATGTTTTTTTATCCCAATAAATCAATTTACTCTACCAAGTCGTTCGTATATTGCTTATAGTCAAGTAGAATAGATTAATGTAGATGGTAAATGAATAACTGATGTTATGTATTAACTTGATTTCTGACAATGAATAGCTTCACTTTATTGTACTACCTGAAGTTCAGGGTCATGCTCAGCCTCAGCAAGATCATCCTCAGGAGATTGGGATGAATGAAATCCCTTAATATAGAAATAGAAAACCATGTCATGGGACATAAATATATATATATATATATATATATATATATATATATATATATATATATATATATATATATATAAGTTAAAAAGATAAAGCAAATGATAAGATAAAATATAATACCGTTGGTGGCAAAGTTAGAGGTTGATGAGTCTTATGGAGTAAGAATAACAAAGTAGATGCATTTGATAACCAATATGCCATCAGATCATTATTATCTTTATCCTGCATTGAGGTGAATCATCATTACAATAGAAATATATCTCAAATATATGTTGTTATTCAATTAGAGAGGTCTATTTTTATGTTGTTATTTAATTAGAAAAGGTCAATTTTTAGGGAAATATTGTTCTACTAGGTATCTAGCCATTAATCCTTTCTTACTAAGGTATCTTACATTCTCTCTACTCCACCACTATGCCGATCATCATTTCCATAACACTATGATCGGAAAACAATGACCGCTGGCCCCTCCTCCTCCTCTAGTCGATCGAGACACCCTGCAGCATCACCGACATGAAATATTGCATACCCCTTATTCTTGATCTTGATTGTCATATTTTGATACATGCACGACCAAAAAGTAATACAAGGGTCCTAACTCCTGTATAGCAAATTCAGAGGAGAGTCTAGTAGTTATGCGTGGAACTTCTATAGAGTTACTGATGCTAATGGCATCAACACACATAAACATGTATAAGAGCCAGGGATGGTTTTGACTAGGTGCCCGGTGTGGCACCGGCAACACCTAGTTCCCGTCTATGTAGTGAAAATATTTTTGATTTTTTTTTAACCTATTGTGCCACTACATAAAAAACAGCAACTACATACAAAAAACTGGCAACTAGTAAAAAAAATTGTCACTCTATTGGATCAACAAGCCCAAAAATTTACAACTTAAACTTATTAATCAATAGTCCAAAGATTCTTTTAGTTTTAGCCCAAAAAAAAAAAACTAAAATAGCCCAATGGCATTTGGATAATTTAATATTTTGATCCAATTGGGAGAATTGGAGCTTGGATCGACAGAAACAAAGGAAAAAAAAAAAGATCGAGACTAATTGTGTTCGACAATCTGCAACTTTTGAGTTTTAGTCAGGTTTAGTCAGGTAATTTATTCTTTAATTTTTTTAATAGATAAGAGGACAAGGCTATGATGGGCTAGCATTATACGAAGGGAATTCAATGGTTTGAAATCTTTGATATTACAAGAGAATGAAACAGCTTTTTATGTACATGTCTTTGCACAACAACTTCAATTCGTGGATGTAGTTGTACCAAAGAAGCCTGATGGTGCTAGTGACTTTTTTGAGCAAATTCCGTTGGTAGTTAATGTTGTTTGTGTCTCGTGTAAAAGAAAATACTTACTACGGGAACAAGCAAGAGAAAGGGTGCAATAAGTCTTGTGTACTGGTGAACTTGAAACGGGAAGAGGGTTAAATCAAGAGACTACACGTGTTCGAGCAGGAGATACAAGATGGGGTTCACATTTCAATGCACTCACAAGTTTGATGAAGTTGTTTGCGGATGTTCTTGTAGTCTTCGAATTTGTGAATGTGGATGGAAGGTCATTGGCAAACCGTCAACAAGCGTCCGGAATCTTAGCATATTTTAAATCTTATGAGTTCGTGTCTAACTTATATATGATGTATGACATTATACGCCTCACGGGTACATTAGCAAAGCAACTTCAAAAAAATGATGTAGACATTTTAGAAGCGGCTTCGATGATTACAGGGATAATGGACGTATTACAATCTTTAAGAGAAACGGGGTTTGCTAGCATTTTGCCAGAGGTATCTTTTTGTCAAACACACAATATTGCTACTTTGGAAATGGAGGATTTTTATGTTAGTGGGAGAAACTGTACAACCATAAAGACCGATAGATTTCATTTTGAGGTTGAAATCTTCAACACAGTGGTGAATATGCAACTTATAGAATATCGTGAATGATTTAGTGAAACAAATACCCAGTTACTAGAATACATGGGTGCTTTGAGCCCTTGTGATTCACTTGCACAATTTGACAAATCAAAGTTGTTGAAGTTAGCTAAATTGTACAAGTATGACTTTGATGATTTGGATTTGATAGATCTTGAAGGACAACTTGAGATATTTTATCACTCTTGCATCAAAGATGAGCGTTTTACCACTTTGAAAGAAAGTTCTGAGCTTTCTCGTTCGATGCTTAGTACGGGGAGACATCAGTCTTATCTTTTGATTTATAAACTTTTAAAGTTGGTTTTGATATTACCCATAGCAACCATAAATGTAGAAAGATGTTTTTCGAAAATGAAGCTCTTGAAGACCGACTTGTGCAACATGATTGGTGATGAGTTTTTGAACGACGCGTTGCTTTGCTATGTTGAGACTGAAGCATTTGTGAAAGTTGAGAATTAAAAGGTAATAGAACAGTTTCAAAAGATGTCTGCACGAAGAGGACAAATTTAAATTGTAATAGATGATAGATTGTTGCTATGTTTTTAACTTTTGTGTAATGGATCGCTTATTTGTATTAAACGTAATGAATTATTTTTTGGTTTTATATTATGTTTGACCGAAAAAAATTCGACAATACCTACTATCAATTCCTGCATCTGTCCCTGATAAGAGCACATTACCATGGCCTTCATGAACAAAGAAGTGTCAATGTTTTAGCTGATAAATCAAAGAGAAAGTAAAGTATGTAAGAATCGATGGAACTAGGCAGGAGATGCATGTTCGAGTCCATGGAGAGGGTGATGATGGAGGTAAACAAGATATGTACAAGACTTGTCAACAAAGATTTGAGTTTTTGCATGTAAATTGTCTTAGTGAAGTCACCATACAAGAAGCCTTTCGAATATGTAATTGGCAAAAAGAACCTTGAGAAAAGAATATATAGAGAACATTTTGTATGGTGGTAGACTTCATAAAAGGACTAAAGGTCTCTTTGTAGTCGATATAAGGTTGCTAGTGGGAAGGAGTAGAAATCCAAAACATTCAAACCAACATAATAAGGAACCAGATACCACGTACTATTCTTAAAAAGAGCATCGTAGTCATTAGTCATAGCCCTATGTTGCTCAACAAATTTACCTAAAACATGCTTGTTCATCTGTGTCAGTGGTAGGAGAGGTGTGTAAGGCAACAAGATATTATGGTATTTTTGCATTTTGGATTTGGGTAAATAGATATAAATTGGGAATAATATGGTGGGAAAGAGTAGATAAGATACTTTCATCAGTTGTGGTAACATCTAGAGAGGGTTCCACTAAGGTCGTTAGGCTACTATCGAGATTGGAAGGAAGGTAAACAGTAGTGGCGAACAGTGTTGCTACAAATTCCGGGGATCACATTTTGGGACCGGCTAAGGGAGGAGCAGCAATCATAGCATGTTATGAAAAGTACGAGACTTGAGGATGAAGGTGTTTCCGAAGGAGTATGTAAATGGAATATGGACTTGTCAAACTGAACAAGCTGAAATATATAACACACAAGAAGTCTGAGGGTCAAGACACCGACAACCATAAGGAGTGCAACATGAATCCACTTTGTGGGGATTTTAGGGTCTCAAATATGGAATGTTTCCGAAGACCAGAAGGATTAAAGAGGCACTCAAATAGTGAATGATTTTGAGAAACCATGGAGGGAAGTCATTTTATGACGTAGACTGCACTTTTGAAGGGAAAGTACGAGAAACACTATACAACACCAAACTAAGAGTGAGACCGATCTCCACCACGTCTCCTCACATAAGTCCCCATTTGAAATTATAATTAAAAGACGACCCGGTTACACTTTTCTACGCGTCTTCGGCTGCCAATGCTTCCCTTATCTTCGACCTTATAACAACCATAAAATGGAGTTTTGTTCCATAGAGTGAACATTGCATAACTAGAGTAATGACTAGATTAACATAAACACTTAATGAATAGTTTGATTTTTGCAAGTAATGTCCATCCTAGCTAGATTGATGCACCAAGTTTGATACCCACGTGGGTTTGAGGTCAAGAGTTCAAATCTTTGAACCAAATAAATTTGTCTATTGCAATTATCACCCATGTATGAGAACTTTTCCTTGGAAATCCCCTTGAGGGTTGAGCTTGCCCCCATTAAATATTGTGGTAAGGCTTCCGCTAATTTGTTTGCCGTATACAAAAAAAAAAAAAAAAAAAACAAGTTTGATTTATATATAGTGCTTTGTTTATCTATTTCTAAAGGACGGAAGGACGTACCTCAATTGCTGAAATAATAATCTGAATAATTCTATCAAACACAATGGTTTTTTCAGCTTCAAGACAATTCCAATGGAGTAGGCATTTGTATATAGTCAACGCTGCAACAGGTTTACCATCAGTAAATCCAATGTCTCCCTCTACGCATTTAATAAGAGCAGCAATCTCCTGCAGCAAAATTGAAACTCATGTCAACAAAAGATTTGGTCTTTATGACTTTATCTTTGACCAGGTTTTATGGAAGATAAAAGTGTGTGGCTACATTTTAGCATAATATCTTGAGCTAGATGATAGCTATTATTCATCTCTTTATTTAGTATAAATAGATGTACTTTGTTTTTGTTTTAACATATAGGAAAATGTAGACGTTTGTAATCAGGTTTCATTTTGCAAGTTTACTTTTAAATACATATTTAGGTGACTAGTGTGTGTTGTGTGTGTGTTTTTAAGGGCATGTACCAACAATATATATATATATATATATATATATATATATATATATATATATATATATATATATAGGGCCGGATTTAAGAGGGGGCAAGAAGGGCAGCCGCACAGGGCCCCAAAAAAAATAGGGCCTTTGATTTAGCCATATTATCTGTTTAATATTTATATAAATAACAAATCCTTCAAATAAGAGCATAAATGTCGTGTTGTTCAACCGGTAAGTATACCCCTTGTATTGTAACTCTATGCGGGTACTCTTCAGGTTCGAATCTCATTATCGTCGTTGTTTAAGAATGTGCCTTTTTAATTTAGCCAAAACTTACTTTGTGCGCTTCCATTAAACTCTCTCTTTTTTTATCTTTTTGTTTTTTTTTTTTTTTTTTTTTTTTTTCATCAACTAAGAACAAGTTTGCAAGATTCATTCTTATAATATTTTATTAAATTATTAAGTTGTATTTTTGTTAAAAGATTAATTATTTTTATTGAGTTTTCTTACACCATGCATCCATTTGTTTCATTAGATTTCCAAAAAGATTATGATAGTGATGGTTTCTAGTTATAAACAGAGAATAGTTGGATGGTTGAAGGAGAAGAGTAGATTTTTGTCACATTTTACTAATGACCTAACAAACCTTTAACATCTTTGCTTTATTAAAATATTTATATTTTCAGTGCAATTGTAGTATAAAATTTCCGATCCAGAACAATTAGTAGATACTCATTAAAATTCTATGATTTTGTTATGTTTATTGTCATATAATTTATCGTCAACTTAAAAAAAAGTAGTTTATATAATTTAATTCGTTACACGTTAAGGCCTAAGGGCCTTTTTTTTCCAGCTCGTCTAGGGCATTTCTATCCTCAGAACCGGCCCTATATATATATATATATATATATATATATATATATATATATATATATATATATATATATATATATATATATATAGAGTACTAGCTAGTTTACCTCATATGGCGGAGTCTGTGGATTCTTGTCGAATTCTGTCAGCAAACTCCTAGCAGGCGTTTAGGGTTCCTGCAGAAAATTGTACCAAAATTTCAAAGTTTGAGATAATTATTCTAATTTAACTATTTGCTTAAAAGCAAAAAATGCCATCTATGAAAAAATGTTGGAGCAATTCATGTTGTTGAACAAATTATGATAGTTCTCATTCTTATAAAGTAAACTAGATTCCTTTAAAAAGGTCAAACTATAAAAACTTACTTGAATATTCAATGCTTTCTCAATCTTCTCAACAACCTTCCCCATCGTAGGGCGTTCCTTTAGATTGAAACTAATGCACTCATATGCAATTTCTTTAAACATATCGAAAGAACGACTATCAATTTGATCCTTAATAGCCGGATCAATTAACCTTTCTAGTTCATTGTCATAGTAACGTCGGACCAGATTTATAAGAGGTTGCGGGCTTTCACCTCCAATGCTCCTAGCATAATAAGCCAACATCCCACAAAGCATTTCAAACATTACAACCCCAAATGAGTATACGTCTGACGCTTTATTGAGGATACCGCTTTCATGGTAAGTGGGATCCAAGTAAAAGTGGGTACCCGCAACCTTTGTGTAGAGTTGGCCATTTGGCTGATTTTTGGGACCAAATTTGGACAAGCCAAAATCACAAATTTTTGCTACCATTTTGTCATCTAACAATATGTTGGCACTCTTAATGTCTCTGTGTATTACTCTGTCGCTCTCTCCAAGACCCAAGTGAAGGTAATGGAGTCCTCTTGCTGCTCCTATACAAATCTTTAGACGTTGTGTCCATGTTATGAAACACCTCCTATTCATATCTTGGAGATGCCAATCAAGGCTTCCATTACTAGCATACTCATAGACAATAATCATCTCATTGGCTTCATCACAATAACCAATGAAAGATATAATGTTTTCGTGGCAAAATCTAGCAATCATCTCAAGCTCGTTGCGGAAGTCCTCTTGTACTTGGTAGCTACCCGGTTTTAGGCGTTTGAAAGCTGCTGTGCGTTCAGAGAGTATTCCTTTGTAAACTTCACCAAATCCACCACTTCCAATACGTCTTTGGGGATTGAAGTTGTCTGTGGCATGGTTGATCTCTTCAAGAGGAATTAGATGGTTTTTAAGGTTTACTAGTGAAGAAGACATTGCCTTTTGATATTGATCGTGATGAATGCGGAAGCACCCAAGTTGCTGTGAATTAAAGATTTCGATGAATGAATGAATAGAATATTACAAGATGTGACGAATTTATATTTGTACATCAATGGACATATAGCTATATATATAGTATATACTAACATGTTGAGAGTCACAGCATGACATACAAGCTGCTCTGAGTCACCCTCAATCGCTTTGTCAACTAACGGATTAAAGCGAATACAATAATTCCTAATAAATAACCAAATTGCCCTTGTCTAGCTTAAACAGAAATATAAAGAAAATGTCAAACGGAGTGACCTTGTCGCATGCTTGTATTCACTCTATCTCTAAAAGAAATATCTACATTAAACTATTATATATACGAGTACTTGGGTAATGTAATTTGAAAGTATTTGCAAAAGGTGATTGTAATTATATATTAATGCATGTGTTTTCTTTTCAGATATATTTTCTGATTCGGGTTCTTAACATGGACAACTTCTTCATCCAAGTTTATATAACAACAAAGTAAGTGCCAGAGAATTTGTTAAGATTTTTCATGAATGAAATTTTCTTGATTTATCCGATTATAAAAAAGGTCAACGAAAGGTGCTTGCAAACAAATCACCAAATTAGTTCTGAATTATCTACGCAGCCTGTTTTCTGAATCCAAGGCGTTGACTTTAGTCACTAGTTCAATCAAGATTGATCACATGTAAAGATTCTTTTTGTTTTGGTTTAGAAAATCAGGAGCTTTATCTACGGGTGCTGTAAAACGATTGATATCACAAATATAGGAAAGGGATTTGTATATAGAATTTGTGCCCAAAATTTTGAATATCCAAAAGGAATCGGATCCCCAATTTAATTAAATATTATTACTAGATATTTACAACCAACTAAAAATAAACTTAATTATCAGAAAGAATAGCAAATAAATATTCACAACTCAAACGCCACATTGCTTATACACATTCCCAAATGCAGAAAATAAAAGGGAAACAATCAGATTTTAATGGGGTTCTTGTTCACAGTTTAGAAACCAAGGTGGACGATGCACTCATATCAAGAAAAGAGCTACTAGAAGATAAAAGAAAGATCAATAAAAAAAAGAATACCAGTTAGGCTTCGGTCACAACACACAGCAGTGAAGCAATGGGAGGACAGTAATCGCCAATGAGTAGTCGTCGAGGATGGTAAAGGAGGAGGAGGAGGAGGAGGAGTGTAGTGGGGAAATCGGAATTGTCAATCGTGTAATGAAGAGGAGAAGGAGGAGGGGTGTAGTGCGGAAATGGGAATAGACAATCGTGTAATGAATCAGAATACAAATTGGAAATTGAAAGACAGAGTCTATATATAGAGCCGTTTTCTCTTAAGTTGTTAATAATTTTATTTTAATTACTTTTGTATTTTCACTTTTTTTATTTAATACATTTGATTAATTTAAAATATGATAATTATATTAAATATAAATTGTCCTCTGGTCCATGGTATAACGAAAATTATAGGTTTCGACCACTTTGTTTTTTGAACGGGTGGTTGCGACTTTTGTTTCTTTTTGCATCTTTATTAACTTTCATTAGGGTTGTCTGAGATGGTGGGTGGGCAACATTAACGACCGCATAGGCCCATATTTTAAAATCTAATAATTATATTAAACATAGATAATCCTCTCGACCGTTGTATAGAGAAAATTATATGTTTCGTCCAACTTTGTTTATTGTTATTGGTTGCAATTTTTTTTTTCTTTTCGCAATTTTGATCATTGATCTCGGTGGAAAACTTGGGCGTCGATCTAGAGTCCATCTTTTCAAGGGGCCTATAAAAAGAAATTGCAAATTGAATCACGTATATGACCCTATAGAAGCAAGAGATTATTGAGTGTTATCAAAAGTTGTTTACGAAAATTATAAATCAATGGTTTTAGTTCTTAAAGGTTGCTCTTAAATTTTTACATCTTGATTTTAAATTAATAGATTATCTAAGGTTCATAACAAATAACTTTCATGCTTTCAAACCATTCCAATAAACTTGTTTATCAAATTAAAAGATTGGAAATGTGTGGTAAACATGCATGTTTTTAACTGAAATGATTAGTTTTGAGTTTCTTCTATAATCATAGGTTTTGTTTAAAGTTTGGTAGACCATTAGTTGAAAAGGATAAATTGTTGTGAATTTTAACATCAAGTACACTATCTAAAAGTAGCGGAAACAATCAAGAGATTTGTCTAAGTGCACATGCATCCTATAATCTAGATTTTAGTAGTTTTAGCAACATACTTCAAAAATCAACAAAAGAAAGAACTAGTGATCTCTTTATTGTTTGATTGTGATCTCGTAGCTACTAGTTTCGCTATGGATGAAGGATCCAACATAGCAACCCATTAATGGAATCAGACCCAAAATACCAAAAGCAAAAGGATTAAACCCAAACTAGGGCATGCAAGAAATTATCCAATCCTTAGGAGAGATGTTGAGAATTTGATTATGGATGGAGAGAGAGAGAGAGAGAGAGAGAGAGAGAGAGAGAAAACAGACATAGTATAGACGATTTTAGAGAGGGAAATTAGTTCTCTAAGGTATTAGCCCTAGTAGTCTATTTATATGTTGTAGATAGAATCCTAGGAGGATTCAAACTCTTAAGGTTGATCCTTATTTGATTCAAACCTACCTTATCCCTATCAGGAATCCTACCAACACCGTTCATATCAGTGTCTCCAAGAGCTTATGGCATATTCCAATAAATCTGATGGATTAAAGTGATGGGTTTTGGAGGTTACAAAACAAAAGATTTACGCAGTGAAATCATAAAACTATTTTATGGGCACATGCAACCTATAGATATATGGCATTGTCTCATTATAGCAACATACTATGAAACCTAATCTAACATATGTGTTATCAAAAATCAAAAAGATTAGAATGCACACCACTCGTACCAAGGACTCGATGGCATTCCAGATACGAGCTGAGGGCCCGGTAGGCATTCCAAACTCATACTGAGGGCCCAAGGGTAGTCCAGCTTGTAAAGTTGTGGACCCAGTGCATGTTGTTCTGTTTTTTATTGATATGATATGCTAATGTTGATATTGCTATGTGGATTGTATGTGTATCGGTATTTTGGGGGTAACCCACTAAGCTTTCGGGCTTACAGCTTCAGTTTATTGTTTCAGGTACACCATGGGATCACGGCAAGGCAAAGGTGTGATCGTACAGCTCCTCCTATTATGATATGTTTCTGGGAAATACTCTGATAATTAATATTTTAAAAACAAAGTTGTAATGTTTTGATGAACTTGACATGTTTTAAAAAGTTTAAATTGGTTTGAAATTTCGTGTGTTACATCAAATTTAGGCATTGACATTAGTTTCATTGAACATTACCACATTTTATAACGGGGTGAATGACTTTAGCATGCCTAACTAAGTAGCCGGTGCCAAAAGTGTAATGGAATCGGAATAGTATCCACTCATGGATCAACTACCCCATAATTTGGATAAGAATTAAGGATAGTAAGAAGGATTACCTTATTGATCTCCTATTGGTTTATAAACTAACAAAAATAACAATCAATAATAATGATTAAGATATGACAATTTGGCACCTAAAATCTCATTAATTAATAGTTTTTATATGATTTACGTAGTAGGGGAATAAAAACTCATGAGATGGAAAATGGTCATTTTTATGTTTTGAAAAAGATAAAATTTCTCATTTTATACTTAACTCTTTACATGAAAATATATATTTCATTATAAAGATTCATGGAGTCAAAACCTATAGAACTCACCAACAAATATGTTGAAGTATCTAACATGTATTCTCAGGAAACTAAGGCAGGCTTCCACACGAAGAGAATGGGACCATCATCTCGTGTTTTAGTTATAAATTATGTTTTATGTCCTCTTTTCACGACGCTGAAGATTTATGGTGAATCATGTGATAAAGTAAAATATAATTATGTCATATGTGGTGTAAAATTTGAAGTGGTTGTTTTAATGTTTAGTATATGCTATGTTTTTTTATATTTGATTTACATCACTCGTCAGGCGATTCTGCCATCAGAATGGGGGTGACAGATTGGTATCAGAGCCTTAGCTATAACGAACTAGTATTTCCCTCAGGATATCTAACTATAGCCTAGGGCAAGGCATCTCTGATAAATGTTTAAGTCCTCTAAACCTATAAACACACAAATATCATTGATAATAAGTAATATTACACATCAAAACAAAGTAAGGGAGTTATGGTATTAAACAACACAACATATAACAAACGATAAAACGAACTTAAAACTCGAAATTCTAGATCAAGTACTTAACTAAAGTTTTATAGTATATATGTCGTGCCACAACTAACCCTAGCTTGCGCACCTATGTTTTATTATGTACCGATCATATGTATCGTTTAACTTAAGTGTAGAAGGTTATACATTAAAGTTTTAGAGATTTAAGGGTCATAAGATCAAAATATTTGTATCGGTAACAAATGTATATGTGTATATGACAATATGTTTAATATTTTTTTAAATAACATTTTTTATATAAAGGGGTACTTGGGGAAACAAGGATGAAGTTCCGTGCCCGCCCCCTCTACTGGACATATACCCCTACATCCCTGATCAAGAGATGAGGTATCAGTTGGTCACGTCAGAGGAATCCTTAGAGGAAGAAGAGCCCATGGAGGACCCGTCTGAAGGCGAGGAGATGGAAGCAGCACCAGGGGAATTTGATCCTAATAAAGATGATGAGACCGCAGAAGCAAGTGAGCCCATGGAGGCCTAGCTGGTCCCTCTCCCCAGAACCTCACCTTCGAGCCCTTATACAGATAACCTGAGAAGGACTGAAAACCTCACCAAATAGCTAAGAAGACTACTTTTGGCTATAGAGGAATTCAGAAGCCCTGACATGGATTATCTGAGGGCATGAGGAAGGGTCTGACAGACCCTAATTGGATCATTGTATTCACCAAGGACAGAATCTATGGTGGAAGAATCACCATCCTA